TAAAAAATGTAAAAGATATTTGTCAGTAGCTGAATTACATTCCCAAAGAACAGTTTTTAAGGTTTCGTTTTCCCTGAGGCTGACAGTAGTCAGTGATTGAATTTGATCATTTCAAACTTCAGGCATCAAAGTATTGTACAAGGTCGATGGAGAAATGCAAAAGTGAGACCTGCTGGACTATTTGCATAGAATGGATTGATTTGGATTCATTCAAAATAACGCCAATTGTATCAGATTTGGTTGTTCTGAACTAACATCAATAACAGAGAGAAGATATATATTTTAATTCTATCTAGAAATAGACAATACTGAAGGTTTGCTGATTGTAATACAGTCAGATCGGTTGTGAAAATGTCCGCGCTTTTGCACTGATAAATATTTAATGCACACATGATCACAAAATGTTGTTGTTGTTGCGCGATGCTGTAAATCCTGATACCAACAGGAAGTAACCACCAGAATTACTAACACTGCTTCTGAGCATTCTTATGCTTGCTTCTTGAACCTGTACTTTCAATATGAACACAGCTCAGTTCTGAATCTATGGAGGTGGTTCACCAACTTCACTTGATGCTGTATGTAAGAACAGGACATCAGGGCTGTTGGTCTCCTTGCAGTTGAAGCTTGGGTTGCCCGGTAAAGGCCAGGTTAGAAGATAGCCTAAGAAGCAATTTAAGACTAAAATATTTAAAAGGAATTCTGATAAGATATAAGGACGCCTCCTAAAAAGCTCTACTAGCCCTCAGGATACCAGTTATAAGACTGAGTTGGGAAAACCAAATAGCACCACTTTGCATCCCTGGGTTGGTCAGTGGCAACATTGAGATATTAGTAAATTGCATTTCCTTACGACTAAGAAACTCTGACCTGAGTGTCAACCCTTGATTCACCTGCAAACAAACAAGATACACAATATGCTTGTGGTTAGGAATATCCAATATCCATCTCTCTTATATATACACACAGTGTTATGGTGTATGAAGTGTACAAGCAATAATGTCTATATTATATTCCAATCAACATGAGACTGTGACCTAATGGACGTTCTGTATGCCATACTATGTTGACTCTGCTCATATCCAGTACTGTTATTCTCATGCTGACAGGTCCCCTCCCAAGAAAGGGTCTGGAATAAGCGTTTGGTAATAAAGTGAGATATAAGTCATCTTCTATGGGCATGGATGTTAAAGTCTGCATGGCTTAGGCAGGCCAGGCCTTCGGCACTATCAATGGACGGCAAACATGCTGTCACTAATTGGCACCCAAATCAAGGACATAAGTCACAAATTGACTACAGCTGTTAAATGTCTAGTTCCTATTATCATACACTGATCTGGTATGCCATGACTGCAATCAATTATCAAGATAGACTGTCGCTTACATCCTCTGAGTTTGATTCATTGTAATAGGCCTGTCATAAATATTGATCACTAACAGCTAATAACAACCCTAGGAAGTTGGTCGCTGTGTTTGGCAAATTAAGTCACTTCTAGGGAGGCAATATTGTTTGGAACATTTCAAACATGAATTCTTATGTGGTTGTCATGAAGTATTATCTTCATGTTCTTGGCAGTGCAACACATAAAATGACAAGCTGATAACACATTTCAGTCAGGTCTTAAAACAGTATAGGGATACAATCAGGTTTTGTATGTAATAATAGCAAGAAGTTTAGGAAACTAATTCCTGCTTAGACAGATACATGCAGGCTTGACTTTTAGTTCAGTTTCAAAATGTTATTTTTGTGTATGTTTATGTTTCCATGTAAAATAATATGGAGGCCAGTTTGTACAGAAACTTATATGAAACAAATTACCAACTGCCTGATGGTAAATCATGCATCATGCACTGTTAGAAGAACAAAACCAAGGATACAAGATAAGGGTACAACGGAAATGGTTGATTATTTGAAATTTCTTACATCAGTCTAGCATATCAGATTAGGTTTGATGGACATGTTAAATCATGACATGGTCTGCCTGTTGTGGCCTGAATGCTTACATGTATAATATTGTTCCGTGTGAGGTACGTACGTACGTCAGTATCGTCGTAGTTCTCCGTGTGAATAACAATTGACTGACTGTATTGCGCCTTCTATTGACATGTGTAACCTTTGCATTTCTCCATGACAGATTGCCGTTGGTCTTAACGCAGTTCTCTACTGTCAACTATAAACACTTACCCTCAGTTCATCTTACTTATTGTTTTAAATTTTGTTACCCCTAGCATCATCTGTGCAGAATGCCCTCTATCTTATGAGTTTATTTTATTTTGCCTATAAGCCCAAACCTGTTAAGTGTTGAACAGATCTGTTTGACATTTAATTGGGTTTATTTCAGCCATTTTGATTTGTAGAAACTTGTATGAATGCCAGATTGTAGTGCATAGATATTGTATTGTGTTTGTAAGTGAACCACTTTTTACAATGCTTTTCCTGATAAACCTTTTCATTGTTGGTCTTGAGTGTTGCCTCATACTAGTTTTTCTCCTTGTTTATCTTTTAATGTTGTTTGTGTTTGGGTGAGGATGCTGGATTCATATCTGATATTGTCTGGGGCTGTGTGTATACTGTGGCCTGACAGCATGAAGGCATACTACTGAACTTCACCATACTGTTCTATATGCATATTATGACACTAAGCTATGCCTAATATCTGATGGCATTCCTTGGAGGTAACCATGGTAACAGGAAAAGAAATATATATTAATAATAGGGCCATGTTCCTGGCATGACTTGTCTTAATGTCTCCCCAGCACTAAATTCCTCCCCATGATTTGACTGTCTGCCCAAGCACCCATGTTTCAGTATGTCATGTCTTGATACTTATAAGTATTCCTTTACATATTATTGTCTGCTGTATGGCAGATCTGTATATTTTATGGCTAAAGATGCAACTACTTCAGAGAAAGAGGTTCTTTTTGAAGCACTTTGTCTCATTTCTAATATATATTTCACTTTTTACAACCCTATTTTCAAAGGTACCCCAACACAGACCTTATGCAACAGCTCGTGTAGAGTTATAATAATGTTTACAAGTGTATTGTGCTTTGCAAGCATTCAGACAAAATGTTGTGCCTTGCACTAAGGAGGCCTGGCTATACATGTAACAGTTCCTGTAATGCATAACAGACAAATGATTTACCAGTCTAGCTTGTTTGGACAATTTCTTTCCTTTCTTACCTTACACAATCAACTAACTTGCATCACCAGGAACATGCCAACATATGGATAACATACTCTAGGAATTAGCAGGAATTTTGTGTTTTTACAACTTACAGCACAGGCAATTCAGTTGCAGCAAGAAAAATTGTAGTAGTGGTTAGAGCCAGTCCTTGACTCAGGTTTTCGTCCCCAAGTCACAACCCACACCAGAGACAATTTTCACGGCAGTAATAATAATGTAATTCTTATTGATCTCGTGGAGAGAGCCACTCACTCGTGTTTGAGAAAGTGTGGGCATTGTATTAGGTAGGAGACAGTCCCAAAATTTAGAGCAGACTGCTTAGAGGATAGGGGCCTTGGTTATAACTGGTCTGTGTATCTTGAATCTGTATTTCACAACAACATGTTGCACACTTACATAGAGAAATTGTGCGTGGTAATATCTTAACCATGTAGATTCTGTAGTGATTAGTGAAACATGATAATACTAACAGTGAAAAAAGTGTTATGTGATGACAACTTATGGCTAAAAGATGACTACTTATCTTTGATGAATTATGGATAGTTTCATGTTCACAAATATGCTAACATGGTAAATTAGGTATTAACATTATATGGCCTACATTATTGTCAGATGAATGACTATAAAATGGCAATTCCCTCAAATGTCACCAACATCTACCAGTTTTTATTGTTAATTAATATTTAATGTACTTCAGCTTTTGAAAGCAATGCTGACTTAACTGATTCTTTCTCTTTGATTGATGAAGCTTTTGAACTATATACATACATACTTATATCCTGTATGTAATTTATACCGTAGTAGTACTTAGTATGAGACTCTGAGACTGAAATATATCATACATATCTTATATACCTATCGAATACAAATCACAAAGACTGAGGTAATATCTCAGGCTATTTTTTAACTCAAAATGTTATTTTTTACCTAGAGAGTAAGTTGATCACTGATAGTCTTATTCATGATGTAAGCATTAATAATATCAGTCCCAAATTGTGAAACAATGTTTTTCTTCCACTTTAATAAGCATACTGTTCTGCTGTAGTTGGTCTACGTTGGATATTGGAGAACAGTGTTTTTATCTGTTTCAAAAATATGCTTTAGTTAGTGTGTTATCTATCACATAATCAGACCGTTATTGATATAATGGCATCCTATTCTGACTCACAAGGGATTTGATGATTGCGATAGCAATATACTGACTGTGTGATAATAGTAATATTCCATTTGCATACATATGAACAGTGTCAGGTTATGAAGCTAATGAAAAACATCATGAAAGCCATTGTCACAATGTATTTATAGACACTAACAGGGAAATGATTCGTAAACACTTCTAAAAGCATGGCAACATGTAATGAGATTAGGATTTCAATTTAAGCTGCATGACAACAGATTATCTGATAAGTCTGATAGCCTTTACTGTTGTGTATCTAACATGTGGTATAGTAATTTCTGCATACCATTGTCCTCAGATTATCATTATTTCCTTTTGCGTGTTAGGGTTTAAATTTTTTTATGATGATGTTTACTCTCATGAGGAATAATTTTAAAAGTTGACAAGACTGATAGCCTGTCTTACAGTAGTATTTCTATTGCTGGTATAGTTACTACAGCTACTGGTTTTCTTATGGGACAATGAATGTTCTTTTGCATTGTCAGCTACCAATAATTTGCTCCACACCACATGCAATGTTTCCTTATTTAATTCTATAGCTGCCTCTTTGTTGTATTGATATCATGCTTTATTGCCACCTTGACTTGCAGGGTCAGCGTGATCTGCATATATTTGTTGTGTATGTTTTGTTTTTTCAGCTACACATTTCCCAGCATGCAGAGCCTTGGCGAGGACCTTGTGTGTGTACTGGACCAGTTGGAGTATGTGTGTTTCCCTGTCACCACATATTGCATAATACACAGCTTTATCCTCGTCTCACTGTGCATAGCTCACACCTCATTGTGGGGCAGCACACTGGTGTCCTCATTTCTTAGTACAGTAGTATAATAGTTGTAAGCTTGGGGAGTAATTATGAAAATATACAAAATATGGGGTCCCTGGATACATTAGGTTTTTAACTTTAGTGGCTTTTTGGGTTAAAAATGATCTACTTGAATTTGCATTCTTAATTTCCATCCCTTGTTACTGGGTTCAATTGTGAGTTCCCCGATTATGATGGTAAGTTTGTCAGCATCATACCTATGCTTAAGGGGTTTCAGCAACATGGTAAACATGTCCTGTATTGCTTCAGTCTTATCAAGCTGACATGCCATGATATAACTGGAATACTGTTTATAGAGGCATTAAACACTACTCAGTCACTTCATGAAGCTTGCTCAGAGTTCTGTTCAATTCCTGTGCTAGTGCCAGAAGTGCAGTAAAATCTCACTCACTCTCTCCAAGGTAATGCTAACACAATATTAAACGCAGATTTAATCATCCAAGAACAAGTTTTATCCAATGATAACCATCTAGTGTGTGATTCTTCAAAGGTAATGTAACGTATGTTTTCATTTTTTGCTCATTGTATTCTCCTGTGAACAAGATTGGTAAATCACACTGTCAGTGGCTATGAGAAATTACCAGCCATGGTAATCTTTTGATCCTTCCACATCAGACTTGTCAGAGTCGTCCAAGGTATAACTATGAGTGGCAGCTGTCAGTTCCGATGTGAAGTAATCCTGTTTAGCTTTTATTCATTTAGAATACATCACATCTAGCTAAGTATCTGGAGAAACACAGTTCGGTCAAATGTTTCTGAAAGGCATTGTATGATGTATGAATGAATAAATGTCAACAAACATTTGAAACATTTTGAATTAACAGACAAATATTCAAAATGAACTCGATTTTGGAAATCCACTAGTTGAAAGACAAAAAATAGCAAAATGGACAAAAGGTAAAATCAATGCTAAGAATGAAGGTTTGAATAACCTTCAATTGATTTTTGTCAATTTTGTGTGTAAATGGCAAGAGTTGTTCTGTAGAAATGGTTTAGCGTGTAAGAACATTGATCCTTTACAAAGTTTTGTTGACAGATTTGTTAAGGAAAGACCTAATAAGAGAAGCACAATAAGCCCTAAGGTGCGCTTTCGTATCAAATACATCTGAACAAGTTCACTGATAGCCTTAGTTTTGCTATACTTATGCAATTTCCATATTAGTTTTGTGAATTCATGGCAGCAATATTGACATTTTTATGAATACTGTGTACTGTGAATTGAAGGCTTTAGAAACTTAATATACCTTAGGGGTTATATATCTAGCTAGGATTCGACCCTTTCTGGTATTCCTTGTACATTTTCTCACTACCTCTTTCACAGACTGTACTGATCAAGTTTAAGTAATTCTAATGACTAATTGAGTTAACTGATAAATAAAACATACTTAATCTCATTTAGGAGGTCATTGATCTGATTGGAACTTTGTTGGTAGTGACATGCTTAGTTTCTGGAAGATGAATTCACTTATGTTTTGATGCAATATATATGTGTGGAAATCTGGACTTCTAAACACCAACATGTTTATATTGGCAAATTGTAAATATTTCATTAAGAGAACTGAGGAGATTTAATCATTGAATAATATTAGGGCAATGTTAATTGTGGGAGTAGAGGAATATAGAGTGAATTGATTTAATGTCTTGAAGGAAATCATTGTGGGAAGATTAATGAATATGTTGCATGTGTAGAAATCGTGCTGTAGAAACACTACTTGGCTGGGCTGTATTATTTAGTAAGGGAAGGACATTTTGCATGACTCACAGACCAATGGTCTAGATAGCCTATTCCAGCCACAGTCCGTGATTGTGTGAAGTGATGGATTATTTCTATTTTCCAAATTTTAGGTAAAAAGAAGTAGGGTTTATACCTAGTGCATATTTTTCATCTGCAGCCTTTCAGTCTTAATGCTTTATATGTTTGACATCACCTTGCAAAGTGTTTGGCTTCTGAAACAGAAACCAAGAGAGACCAAACATATCAGAAATGAGTGATGATGGTAGAGTTTGTTAAATTGTAATGATCCCAGTTGTCCTTGTACAGCTAAAGGGGTGATTCAGGATGAATTGATGGAACTTTAGGGTAATTGTCACTTTCTAACTTTGGATGTAAGGTATGCCATGTAGGGCTTTAGTTTTAACACACCTGCCCATGCGGTTTTGAATCAAGATACATGTTGATGCCGAGCTCGGTAACAGGACTCTCAAGTTGAAGCTTACAGTGCTACTCAATCACAAACAGAATAATAACTTCTGGCAAAGTCTGATAAGGAACTCTAGACAGTACAGTGCCTTGATTGTGTGTGTATGTGTTTCAGTGTGAAGCAGGTGATTGGCCTTGGAGAAGGAGCTGGAGCTAACATCATCGCCAGATTTGCGGTAGGAGAAAGTCAAACACCGTATTTCCTGCTTGTTTGTTGTGTTGGAAATCAATGATGTCGACTTTTGCATCTGTTTAAAAACTTTAAATGTTTTATTATTAAGAGTATATAAGACACACATGGATATGCAGATCTGAGAAAATTTCATGCCTTGTGTCATATCAATTTTTGCATGTTTTTTTTCCAAATAAATTGTGTTTTTTTAAACAATTGAACAAATATTTTTTGTCAGAAACATGGCATAATCATGTGATATTTAAGAACTGACTATTTTTGCAATTATGGAAGTAGAAATGTTACAAACTATGTGCATACAGTGTACATAGGCACAGACGTTTTTATGTTTACATCTCCATAAAATGCAGATATATGAAAGTCTAATCCTATGAAAGAATATATCAATAACAATAACTTCATGGACTGCTGATTTCATCATTACCATACACAAAACTGACTACCGGTATACAAATTGTTGATATTGTTTACTGCTGTAATACAACACAAGCCCTGCCCATTATGTAATCAGTTAATAAGGGAATAGGAGTCCCTCAGTGTGAGCATAACATTTGGAGGGTTTGTAGAAACAGAATTGCAAAAAAACAGTATTGGTTAGCACCCACATCATTAAGTGTCTACGTATGCTAGATATTTGAAATGCAAAAGTGAAACAATATACTACTGCCATGTTTAAAGGTTTTAGTGTAAATGACTTATTAACTGCAACAGACAGTACTTATATGTAAACATTACTATTTGTACAGATGGCCCAGCCTAACCGTGTCCTTGGAGTGTGTCTGATCCATTGTACAGGGTCTACAGCAAACTTTATGGAGGCACTCAAGGACAAGGTATGTAAGTCTTCCTGCAGCTGAACACCAGGGTAGTTATTCTTGTGAGACTAGTTGCTGTGAACAGTGACAAGGAGGGGCGGTGGGATATCAAAGTGGTTAAAGTGTCCACTGGTCATGATGAACACCTGGCTTCGATACCACACATGGGTACAATGTGTGAAACCCATTCCTTGTGTTCCCTGCCACGATATTGCTGGAATATTGCTAAAAGCGGCGTAAAATCTTGCTCACCCACTACATGACTAGGAACCAAGATTAAAAATAGTTTCTGGTCCTTCTGACAGATGCAACTCTGATGAGCAGACAGCCACGCTGTCAATGACATCCATGTGGCCCCTGTTCTTGTTTGATTTGAGAATGTGCTGAAAACTGTGTAACCTTCTTCAACAGGAAACAAAGACATGTTTGTTTCCTTCATTGCTGAATACAATAGGGGCGGTGGGGTAGCCTAGTGGTTAAAGCGTTGGCTCGTCACGCTGAAGACCCGGGTTCGATTCCCCACATGGGCACAATGTGTTAAGCCCATTTCTGGTGTCCCCCGCCGTGATATTGCTGGAATATTGCTAAAAGCGGGGTAAAACTAAATTCAGTCAGTCAGTGCTGAATACAATATGATAATTACCGGTAGAATAATTGGAACGGTCACCAGGTGGCTTTCACGAGTCAATAAGATAGCCATTACTATTGGATGTGTGAATATTGGACTTGGAGAATGTAACTTCATGTCTACATCAGGTTCATGCTTTTGCTAGAAACTAGAATTATAGTTGAAAGACTGGAAAGCAGATGTTAAAAACATGTTTCAGCTGTGTCCCTGTGTTGAACAGTGGTGCTTGCCTGAAGAGTTGTCATCAGTGATGTCAACTGACGTCACTGACACATCTCAATGCCACTTGAAGCACATCTCAATCATCCAAACCTCAGGGTTATACTGTTTACTCCCTGCAGGAGGGGAGGACTTATTCTCTTGGTTATGTAAGGGAGGTAACTCCATACTGTCACTAAATTCTGTCACAACCATTTTGCCCGTGGATGTCTAAAGCTTGCATTGATGGAGGTCAGGCATATTAAATAATATCAGGTTGTAATAGTTAGAAATTGAGCATTTCATGGAATCCACAAAAACCAACAACAAAAGCCCACACCAACAAGGAAAATCAAACATAATGTATGAAAAAGTAATTTGATACAATAAATGGAGTAATGTAGTTAAAACTCCAAGTGAACAAGGTCCAGTAAACTAGGAACAATGAAAAAAAGGTATTTGGATGATGTCCAAATAGAATTAGATTTCAGGTTTAGTATCTTAGTCAAGTTGGAAACTGGTTGGATTATGTATAATGTGAAATTTTGCATTTTCTATATTGACCCTTTTTACATTTTTTAATCAGCCTTTCCTGTTTGGTGATGGTATGTTAGCAGAAGCACATATAACGATTGTTGTATCATTGGAAAGATGTTTACCAAGGAAATGAATGCAAATCTTGTGTTTGTGTGTCCACAGGTTAGGACGTGGAAACTTGACCAGATCGGAATGAACCCATCAGCGGAGGCTTATTTGGTGTTCCACAGATTTGGCTCAGTGAGTAGTAGGCATGTTGCTAGTACTACCTGCCTTGAACATGCCTTGAACATGTCTTGTGTCTTAGCTGGTGCATCATTTTGTGTGGAAGGTGTTCAAGTGTGTTTGAGTGTGTTCAAGGGATGGGTATCAATGATGGATGAACAGCCATGGGAAAGAGGTTGAAGCAAGTTTTATAACTGTTCTGTTCAAGATGATATAAGGTATGATCTCTGAGGTTGTGTTGGTAAGGTTGAGATGAGTGAACTATACACATTAGTTCAAGTAAATACCATTCAGGTTGAATGCTTTATTTTTCCACTGCCAGATTTATGTGGTCATTTGGGAAAACATGAGATAGTCATTGTCCAGTCTTCCAGTAGCATAACACAGAACAGACTGATCTGTATAATTGTAAGATTTGTCTTGTTAGTCTCTTTATTCTTAACAGTGTGATTGTATTACAATTATCCATGAAGGTATTAAGAAGATTCCACAATGCTAGGTTCTCATCATGTCCAGCAGCATTTGTTTTCTGAATTAGTTACCACAGTTACAGCTGTTACATAAGTTTACTTCTAGAATACAGCATCACAAGTGTCAAGTTGTATTTCATCATATCCTAGATGTGTTGATTTAGTCAATGTGATGTTCATCATGTGTGTGATGGGGATGTTTGTGCTTTTGCTCTAGTGTGATTTTCAGTTTTCTAGTGTATATATTGTGTGTATGTATTATGTTTCAGGGATATAACATTAAGGTGCATTGTTATGTTTTGTTTGTGTTCATTTTTTGCTCAACTTCATTCAAATATTTTGCAAGATGTTACAAATTTTTCAGTGTGGTGTGAATGAGTGAGTTGGAGTTAAGACTTCATGCAGTATATCAGTTATATCAGGACATGCCAGATTAATGTCATAGGAAAGCATGTAGTGATTGAGGTCTTGGAGATTTACCACTGTGGTAAAATGGACAGTCATAAGTATCGTCCAGACAAAGTATATATAATCAGGTATTCGAACCAGTTATGGGATTCTAGCATGCTTAACAGAAGCAACTCTGCGCAGATCTATGTGGTAGTATTCAACATTTGATTGGGAATAAGTAAATGTGTCATGTCAACCTCACTTCTTCAACCATACCCACTGCAGACAGGTGAAACTCATCCTGCTCAGTTTCATGCTAAAGCTGCTTCTTCCTGTCAAGCAGGTACAGACTGGGAAAGTTCTGGTTAATTATGAGTTGTAGGGTAGTCTTGCTGCTACAGTATTAACAAACACTTCAAAGACCCAGGTTTGAATCCCCACATGGTTAATAAATGAAGACCACTTTTATTGTCCTCTGTCATGTTAGTTTATTGTTGTTGAAATAGCGTAAAACAATCATTACTCACTCAAAGCCTTAAATATTCATTATATTCTGCAAGCCAAAGACTCAGTAGTGGTGTGGACAAGTATGAATCCTGTGATGGTCGTCCTCGTTACCTAGTAGTTTTGGAGGCTATAATTCTGAATCACTTCTCATTGCTTCAAGTTTGCCTCGAATTGGAACTGAATATAACTGACGGTACATATATTTTTGTATTCATAAGCAGGACTGGTTACAAACTATAATGAGGTTTATGCTAGGCCTCTTGCCTAAATTTATTCAAACATGAACTTCTAAAACTGGTCTATGACACCAAGTAGTTAATACTGCTCCTTTGACCGGAAGGATTCAGAGAAAATTAGTGTTGTGATTTTAAAAAATCTTGTTTACAAAACAGGATGAATTGTTATTTGCATTTCTTATAGAGAATAAAGCAGATCCTAATAACAATGCATGGATTGTTGCTTATTAGGTCTTTCCTTCAAAACAGTTTCTTTGTGTAAAGTAATATCGCCTCTTGCAATAAAAATTGCTTATGAAAAGTTGGGCATGTTTTGGTCATGAATCACTGCATTGATCTTATGTAGTTGTTCATTATCCATTTACAGTTTCATTTGCTTATATAATTAGTTTGTTGTGTGTCGTTTCTGTTGCATTGTTTTGTTGACTGACTGATGTCTCTCCTCTGTACACTATACCAGAGTTTCATCAGGTAATTTGATGTACACTGGTAGTGTCGGAAAACGGCCCTTACTAAGCTGTAATGGAAATACACATTACATGGATTTGATTGATTAAATTTATAGACATTAAGATAATGAGATGACAAAGAGTTATGACTTGGAATGTCTTTAAAAAAGTGTTCAAGTGTAACACTTTCTTAGTAATGTACAAATTCAGTACTTGTCAGAGGGGTACATGAAGTATGTTGGCTTGCCTATCAGTTGTCGGACTTACATTTTTGTTGAAGCCTCAGTGGCTGAGTGGGTTAAGTCATTGAATTTGTGTGCTAGCGATTTGGTAGCTGACTCTGAGAGTGAGGGTTTGAACCCTGGATTGGAGTCATGTCAAAAAGTACTGGAATTTGTTCTTGACTGAGAAAGTGTATTCCATTTGTAACATGATTTGGAAGTTGAAAATTACATTTTTGCCCAGTGGAAAACCTACTGGTAGGTGATAAATATTTTTCTGAAATTTAATAATATTATTTGGTATCAGTATGAGGAATTATCAGTCAGTATGCATTATTCATGTCTATTCTCTGCTTTGACTTCTTATTTTGTATGTATGTTTTATGCCATGTTTTGTGTTTGTGTGTTTCATTCATGTGCATTATTCTGACTCTTAGCGTAGGATGACTTGTTGACAGTGATGAACTAATGCTAGGATCTTCATATATGGAAAGGGGGAAGCCCAAAGGGGGTCAGTAGAGATGATGTATTTAACCTTGTCTAAGGTGAGGGGAGGTGAAGTGAAATGGGGTTTGAGATTGTTGCACCTAGCAGTGTGCAGCGTTACATGCTTGCAGGTGTGTACTAGTCTAGACTACTGCTAGCCCACTGAGATGCCATACTGCAGGAGGGATACACCACAGACAAAGTGTGATGTCTTGGAACTGACTGGTCCTTGTTTTAACCTCTAATTGTGGAGGGACAGGCAGGGTAACAAGTACCAACTTTTAGGCAGTTTTGGGTATGACACAGCCAAAGACACCTTTACCACTGGATCACATCGGCAGTCCCTTATCGAATGTTATCCTTAGAGCACATTCACGTTTCACACTGTCACCCAGCTAGGTCACATTCTTTCCCCTTCATCTCTCTCATCTTCTACATTCCTTAAAACAGATACTTTTTGAATAAAGATTCATTTTCATATCATTAATTTTCTTCTGATGGAATTCTCATCTGAAAAATGAAATCTATGATGTTCCATTCTAATATTCAAATATATATTGCTATATTTGGTCCTTGAATTTGATTGTACAGAAGATGGGGTCTTATGTTAGGATTATCATCAAGGAGCACCATGCAAGAGTTGACATCAACTTTCACTTTCTTTTCATGTTTTCTTTCATGGCTTTAGTCGACTGATGAGGTAACTTCTAGCTTTGAAGAAAACCACTTTTACTTACTCTCACTCAGTTTATGTCTGTCAGGAATGTGTCCATGTAACTCTATCTTCTCATCACGTTACAAAATACTGACATTTTGGTAATCCCAAAACTGCTTAGTAAGAATTCTATGTGATGTGATTACAGTTCCGTATTTTAATATCGGTTTTAAATTATCTTGTAAATTTATGTTTCCTTACAGATAATTGTGAAAAATGTATTTGGGAAGATTGGGACAGTGAAATAGAGTAGATAGGGAACTTACATGGACACTTTGCCTTATTTTCTACTAGTGTATATTTACTGGAGATTTATAAGGGCAAAGGCTCGATGAGATAATCAGTAATGATCAGCCTTAACAATGGCTTTGGGGAGTTAGTACTAAGTATTAAAATATTCGTATAACGTTATCATGATATATTCAGAAACTAGCTAACTGCATGCTTCTGATGATGAATAATATTGTCAGTTTTGACACTAACATTTTAAAAGTGATGCTTGCCTAATGTTAACCTGACGTTAACCTAACATTAACATGTGCCTACATAATCAGCAATATTCTGGGCGAGGCTAACCTGTAACGTAGATAGGATCCGCAAGTAGGTATTACTGAGATAGAGGATGTCAGTACATCCATGAAAACATTTCAGTACAGCTGTTGAGAATATCTGGTTGTTTGCCTTACTACACATTCAGACATCAGTATTATCATTTTCTAGTTCCTGTTCTGAATTTTGTTAATGATGAATCAACTGATGCCTGATATTGATTCCATATTTGCATGTAATTGATCACTTGGGTAGAATATTGCACATTTTCTTCCTAATTCTATGTTTGATAATACCATAGCCTGGTTTTGATCCAGACAGTTGTCAGCTGTCACTGTCATAGATACAATTTTAGCTGGTTAATAATGCTGTTACGTTGCACCTCAGTAAATTATTAACTTATAGTGATATTTACTGATTTGTGTAGCTCGGTCACAGAATTGTCTCGACAGATTTTCGAGTAAAGTAGGATGTCTGTTCGTTTCAGGGATTTCATGTGGAAAAAATAATAATTGTACTTGACAGAGACCATATGAGCTTTGTCAAATATTTGTTCAGTAAATGATGAAGGTTTCACATTTTGACTGATTTCACTTCTCACTACACAACAGTTTTCTTTCAACAATAATATATTCACAGTACACAAGGTTTGAGAAAGTGGAGTAAATCTTTCCTATTGTATATGTGTTCATCGTTATGTGTATTTTTTGAACACATAACAGTTTTCTCATGTTGTAACACAATATTCATAGATGCAGCTTTCTTAGTAATAGTGCACATAATATACAAATTAGATGTAAATGTTTGTACTAAAGAATTTTTCACTTTAATATGTATGTGTTAGATGAAATATATATTGATTTTTGAATGAGGGCGTCAACTTGCACAAGCTTGATATTATGTTGAGATTGTCCATAAATTGTGTTGTCCACAAGAAATAGCGAAGTGAAAACAAGCACCTGTGCCATGCATGGTTTAGATCCTCCAAAAATAGGATCGTCTTTTGCAAATAAACCAGCATGTTTATGAGAAATTTTCAAACTTCGTTTGACCTACACTTGAATAGACTTTTGCATGTAACACACATTTCAAAACTTCAGAGAATTTTTTCATTTTTGCTATGAATTTAAGATCAGTCAACATGGGTTGATAGGATGATAAATGAATTCTGTATTACGTAAGCACAATATGTGAATCATACAAGAAATATGGAGATGGTGTGTTATTGATGTCGGTAAGTTTCAACATAAAGCCACAAATAGGCATTGCAAATTTACAGAATTTAAGGTAACACTTGATCAGCATTTGATCCTAATATATTATATTTGGTGATTATTTTTAGGATTGGTTTGCTGTGTGTTACAGTTTGAGAAAGCTGAAAACAAGGAGCAGCTGGAAAAAGTGATTGAGTCATTCCAGCAGTCTCTCCGATCAAAGATCAATCCCAGGAACCTTAAGAGATTCGTCCAGGCATTCATGAAGTAAGAACCCTCTAATATTAATAGGAGTGAAAAGTTTTAGAAAACACACACACACACACACTAAAAATAAAAAATCTTTCAATATATTATTTCTAGTCCTATAATTAATACCAGTTAAAAGCTTTTCTCAAAAGCATATTTATTGGCTCCAGTCATGTTTTTTATGAAGAAATTGAAAAGAAAGTGTTTTTCGTATTGAAGAGTCATGAAATACAAATTGCCAGCTTGATTAGATTAGAAACCAGCGTAGATTATGATCTAAATATGCCTTCGTCATTTGAAGCCAGTGGCTTTCCATTTCTTGCTGGCAACCTTGTTGCATCATCATGTCTGACAGTCCATGCAAGGGTTTTTCATTTATTTGGTTTTGGATGAGTCTAGATAAACATGTAAATATCTACGACAAGGAAATATCCTGAAAAGTGAAAAACTATGCTTGATCTTACTAATAAGTAATATAGAAGCATGAAACTGTAGTCAAGTACAAAATAAGCTGAAAATCTACAGATTTTTTATTGGCTTTAGTTTGGAGTCTCTAATGAAAACGATGGGCATGAAAATCTTTCATTGATGCTGTTACCCCGTGGCAGGCTGGTCACTAACAGTGCTTGGAGAATTTTGATCTGGTTTTAATTTGACTTGCATTCTTTTTACAGATTCTGTTCATAGTGATACATTTTGTGAAGCATTTATTTGTTGGTCCAAAAAGTTATGGGTGTTTTCAGGTATGACCTTTCATTATAATATTATGTGAACATTTATGTATTCGTCATTTCAGACGTTCCAACATTGGTGACAACATTGGAAAGATCAAGTAAGTATATGCTTGAAGCAGAAACTCATTACTATCATACTCTGTTGTAACATGTCCTGTGATTCATTACAAGGGATGATGGTGTAGCTTAGTGGTTCAAAAGTGAGTTATGCAAATAGAATTTTAAAATAGTCAACACGCTTACATATTTAATTCAACATTAATGTGGTCCCTGGTCATTGTGGTAAATACTTAACACTGTCAGTATGGACAAAACATATCAAGGAATATAATTTCTAATTGTTTCACTGATATATATATATATTCCCAATATTTGTACTTGTTACCCAATATTTGTGATACACATCTTATTTGCCTTATAGTGGATTCACCCGTGAAGATCTGGCTTAGAACTGATCTTCAGTAATCCATGCTAGTCGTAAGTGGTGACTAACAGGATTGGTTGGTCAGACTCACTGACTTGGCTGACACATGTAGTCGTATCCCAATTGCGTAGATCAATGCTTATGCTGTTGATCACCGGATTGTGTGGTCCAGACTCGATTATATTCAGGCTGCTGCCATATAGCTGGAACATTGTTGAGTGCGGCGTAAAACAAAACTCACTCACTCACTATAGTGGATTCACTACAACCCTAATATGTAGATTAATTAGTTGCATGTCTTCTTATTTATAATAACATTTAAGACATCTTATTGCTTAAACTTTAAGAACATTGCTGACTCCAATATCAACTACATTCCCATACACAATGATCCTTTTAACCATGTTTACATTGTGTCGCCAGGTGCCCTATCCTGATGGTGACAGGGTCAAAGGCATCAGCTAACCACCCAGTTCACTTGCTGTTTGAGAAGATGAATGATCAGATCTCCAAGAAGAACACTGAGATGTTGGAGGTTGATGGAGTGGCCAATGTTCTGGAGGAGAGGGTAAGTGGTTGCTGAAACTCCAAGTTTTGTCTAATCTTCACTTATTCATTTGTCTGTAGAAACCTCATTAAAAAGGATGGCAGATGTCCTGTTAAACATGTTTCCACCTCATCTCTTGCTAGGAAGGACTAGTATGATCTATGATCTGTTGTTTATTTTGTGTCTGTCATTGCAGAGGCTGCAATTAGTGTCCTGTGAGGACTGAGACTTGCTGTACAGTCAATTTGAGTCCTGACTACATCTAATGTGTGAACAGTTTAAGATTGACAAGGTTGCCAACTGGGCTCAGTCTAGTTCTCCTGTTACAGTAGACATGACATGTCCTACATATAGCTTATCCACTATTATTGTTGCTGTTGTTAGGACATATAGGCATATTGTTATTTCTTATTGCCTTTTCTCTTTCATTGCAGCCTACAAGATTTGCTGAAAGCTTCTTGTACTTTCTGCAGGGCTTAGGTGTTGGTACGTTGTTTGTGTCACTAGTTTTACCCTTTCCTTGTGTATGTTCTGCCCATTAAAGGAGAGCGGAAGGTCGTGGGTTCGATCCCCGACCACGTCATACCAAAAGACGTTAAAATATGGTACTTGCTGGTCCCCGCCTGGTGCTCGGCATTAATGGGTACAACAAGGACTGGTCGGCTCGGAGTCAGTATAATGTGTCTGAGTGGGGTATTCATGCTTCACTGCGGCATGGTATCTCAGTGGGCTAGCACTATAAAACCAGCTTAAGTCTGGGCTAGTACAAGCAGCCGCCACACATACACGTACACATGCATGCACGTCATCATATGAGCGAAATATTCTCAAGTACAACGTTAAACCCAATTTCACCTCACCTCACCTCTGCCCATTAAAACCATGAAATGGAATCATTAAAGGTATAAGAATGTAGGCTACATCCTTTGGGACTTTTATCTGGTTAGAGGAAAAAGTAATTCATCACTTAAGTTTTGGAATCAAGTTTTCAGATAATGGTTTATCATCTGTTCCAACGGACGAAGCTGTCCTACTTATTTTACAGGCCTGGGCTCTTGGGCCCAAATTTATTGTATGAATAGTTTTCATGATGAATGAAATGGCTGTGACATATACCTAAAGTTTAATGTTCAGATAATTTTAGGGTGGTAATATTAATGATTTAATTGGAAACAAGAGCTAACATGTGAATAAAATGCCTTGCCTAACTGTAGATGCTTTTAAGATAAAAATATCCATGAAGATCAGGGTTAAAATTGGTCTTCAGCCACACTAGGGTTTTGGTGATGAGGCTCGCTGACTTGGTTGATGCATGTCATCATATGCCAATAGTGTAGATTGATGCTTATGATGTCAATCACTGATTTGTCTGGTCCAGACATGATTAATTAGAGGCTGCTGTCATGTAGCTGGAATATTGCTGAGTGTGGCATTACATAACAAACGAACAAATTGTAAGATCACATGTTGACAATTTCTGTACGGTTACCCTGTTTTTTCAGCTGGTGGGGTACCAATGATGCGGGGGCAGAGATCCTCCTCCTTTGAGGGTGGCACGCCACCCTGCCGCACCAGAAGCATGTCCATGGAGGAGGCTGACCAGCCAAGGGGCATCTACTCCATGAGTCCCCCCAAGTTTGGTGTATCTCCCCCTAAGATGAGCTCCAGTCCACCCACAGGCAGTGTGTTATCCTCCAGCCCCACTAAGAGTTAAACAGGGACCCAGAAGATTGAGGAGGGGAAGGTGGGAAGGGGAAGTTCTCCATGTGTATATTTGTCAGAGAGATTGAGGCTTGTAGGTCCGGTCTTGTTTGTCCTTGTCCTTGCAGGGCATACAGTGTCAATATTTTCTGCAGCCAGCAGCTGTGGAAGTCCGTCAGTCCAAATAGATTGCGGCCAATGGTATTGACAGACAGACAAATGCCCATTACAACCATGCTATGCACTTGAACGACTTGATTGTTGTATTGGTTTGGGCTTGTATGTATTGAAGAAGTCTTTTATCATGCTTATCTAGAATTGCAGGTGTTGCTGCTCGAAGGGTAGCTGCAGCATTGAGTAGCATGTACCCAGGTATTGATACCCAGATGCACACGTGTGCATGTATGACAAAAGCAATCAGTCGTATTATCTGTGTTCAGTATTTCTCATGTTTTGTTTTTTTAGATATTCCTTGGTTATGTATCTTATTGGTTGATGAAATACATGAGTTAAGTTGGTACTGGGTGGATGTAATGGACTTGTTGGACTTTTCTACTGTTGGCTTGACCTGGCTGGGAGACAAGGATTACCTTTACCATGAACACTGCAATATGCTGCAAGCAAATGTCAATATATGAGCACTGTTTGTGTACTTTTACTTGAATAGTGTCACTTCAGGAAGCAACAATGGTGCTATCCATCAAATCAAATTAATATGCAAAGTTTTGTTTCATATTAAGGAATGAAATTGTTATTTCAAGCTTCAAAATTGTTTGTAGTTGCTACTTTTTATCAGCAGTGGTGGGTTGAAGAGAGTTGCCTCCCTTATGTAGCATATGATGTTAAAAAAGAGAATTCTCTCCCTTGTGGAGTAGAAATCTGTTGTAATTTTGTTTGGTTAAGTGGTGAATTGGGTTTAATGTTGCTGTATAATGAGCAGTGTCTCTGCTCATGGAAGTATTATTTTGGAAAGTGAACTCAATACAAATACTCAGCTGATATGTAGCATCTTTGATCTTTTGAATGCATATTTGTGTTTGCACATCTTACGCGCCAAATGTTTTGTAGTGCTTGTGATTAAATGACATTTGCTTGAAGCACAGTGATAAGTGTTTCTTATGTTGTGAGTACTGAAGACAGCGAAGGTGTTCGTCTATATCAGGCCTGTATTTCCTGTGTGGGTATAGCATGGGGGATGTCCAGCTTGGCCTGCTTGTAGCGGGTATGCAGTCCAGCTGAGGGTCAGTGCCCAGGCTCATCCACTCCATGTTGATTTCATCCCAACAGTTTGACCACACACACTACATGATATCATGTTTCTGAGGAGGATCATTACCATAATAGCATTCAACAAGTGACCTTCAGGTTGAGTGTAGTAATTTCAGGAAATTTCAGCAAATCTTCATATCAATAATGCAGCTTTTTTGTCTACAATGATGTTCTTTAAACATTATTGTCTCTCCGCTAAGCATGGTGTGTAAATGTCAAATGATTCTTCTTGATGTTAGCTGGATGAAAGTCATTTTTATACTCTTTTTCTTTATATACAACAGCATTTGCATTGCAGTAATAGCTATTATGTTTCTTGAAAATATATACTGTATGCATTGAAAGTGAGTAACATCAGTTAGTCATCTCCAGAATGTTTTGCTTGAATTATTTTGTACAAGCATTATAGCCAAACCAACAGTTGCAGGGATGTAAAATCTTATATGAAAACATTTGAAATTCTTAACACAGGCATATGACGACAGACTCACTAGTTTTCCTTACTTGTCAGCCATCTTGCACCCTACATAATCTAGTGTTGAATACACTACTAAACAAAGGCAGCACACCATATACAACATTGTAGACTTGACGTTCCTTGATTGTGGCTGCTTCTGTTCATGCCAGAACGTCCGGCAAGTCCAGACAATCTCAGCCGACAAAATGTTGTGTTTGAACTATTTTCTGTCAAGATTGGACTCCTGCTCACCTGTAGCTCTTAGATCATACTTGAATGTTTGTAGGAGGTATATAGTTTGCTTATCCTTGTAGCCAACAGCTAACAGGGCATACTTGTTACAGATCTATCAACTAAACGCCTTTCTTATTCTGAGTACAGATCAGTCGTTCTTTGACACTGTGTCAAACAAGGAATACACTGTGTCAAACATGAAAGTTTTACTTTCTTTGAAGTAAGGATGGTAAAATATTGATTAACCATGTTAACAAACATGAATATGTATATGTTGATAGAGCTGATAACAATGTTGTTCCAATGATTGTGACTGTACATCTTTTATTTTATATTCTTTATAGATGTTTTTTTTTTGTTGCACTTACATATAATATCATCGTATATATTCTACTGTATTTTATAAGCAGATGGTGGCAAGTTTTAACCGATACTTATGAACCACATATAATCGATCATTCCCTATATCTGTGTTGACACTTGTTATAATGCTCTGCTTTCTTCTGCTCATACTGTTTCAAGTATAATGCAACATTGTTAGTTTTATAGTAGTCTTATCTTATTTTGTTGGTTGCTCATGGGTTGCAGGGATTTTGTTGAAAATAATAATTTGGTATTAAGGAGTTTGGAATTAATGTGACAAAATAACATCTTGCAAATACACATTGCTCTGTTTAGGAAGGCTGACAAGAAATATGTCTTCTCCTTGACATTAGATATGTTTTCTCCTTGACCTTGGATGTGTACATTAAATTCTAAATTTTAGGACTGATGATTTATCTTTTCATCTGGGTATCTCTGGAGTCTGACATGTTCATGTAATGGAGTGGAAATATTGTCACATTTGTATAGACATCTTTTGTATGAAACAAAGGTACCTGATATGTGAGTGTCACAGTCTCAGTATTGTTAAGTTGAATTATAACAGTTAAAGTTAATAGCTGGGGTGGCTTGTTGGGAGTAGCCTTGAGGTGTGCTTCCTCAGTTAAGCTATCTTCAAAACCAGAATAAGACAGCTGAGCCATGATGGGATGTTGAGTGTTGTCCGTGCTGCATTTTCATCAACTGTGGATCTACTACAACAGTGGGCCGGACACGATGCCCTGCAATAAAGATAGCACCTGCACCCATGTTTGTTTACTTTGACCAATGTTGTTACAGAAGTTGTTTTCAAGTTGTATTTGAATATTTTGAAATGTTACTAAGGTTATGGATAAGTTTGGTGTTACCTGAGACATGGGGAGTTGTATCCTAAAAGTACTGTTCTGACCATTCTAATTAGGATGATTTGGTTGAGGATTGAGGAAGTGATAAGAAGCTCTGGCTTTTGCTTGAATGTTAGAACAGACATGATCTATTCATGACAATTGACTTGTTTGTGTCCTATGTTTGTTGGTTTCATTGGTAGTTAGAGTACAGGTAACAGTTTACTTAAGCGTTTTGTTCATACAATGTATGTAGCAAGTTGTGAAGAATCCTCTGGTGTGGAGACATCAATTCTTAGTGTCATGGCAAAGTATGCGGTGATTCAGTTTCAAATGATGGTCGTTGTGAACAGTGTTCTCACCCAATGTGATGGAGTAAGACATCTGAAGATGTGTTGAGCCCATATTCCGGTATTACATACTGTTTGACCTGTTTGTAAAGCAAGAACTGTGTGATATTAGTCCATAAGCCTTCTGTACATCTCCAATTGTGTAGTCAGAATTGTTGTTTGTTGTCAGATGTTGGTTTACTCATGAGAAGCAAGTGGGGGTCATCTCTTCTGCCTCCTGTCAGTGCTTCATTGACAAACAGATGGCCTTGATGTTGAGCCGACAATATATCAACTCTTTACATAGAAGCTACATTTTTTATGAATATTTTAGAGATAACAGTTAAAGAGATCTTGAAACCTATTTTTGTAAGGCAGCTTCTGCTTATGATTTTTTTACTTATGAGTAGATATCAGAATGTAAGATAAGCACAGACAGTCTGCTCCCTGTTTTGCAGAACATTGATTGCTGGCCACATTGGAGTTTGTTCTACTTAATGTGTTGCTGAGAACCATGAACCTAACTGTAGCCAGTCATAGACCAAACTATTGCAATAAGCTATGGCTGATCTACTGTGTTGCAGAACTCTAGAGCATTTGGACATCAGGACAACAGGCTATGTTCACACATTCTCCTTGTAGCTGTTTGCTATCTGTTCATATCTTATTTTTAGAATATGATGAATTTGAATAATCAAGATGAAATGAACCCATAAACCTCATTACCGGGTAATTGATGTCAAGATTTTTGAAATAAAGTATTTGCAAATATGTCTTTGTTTGTACTAGTTTACAGAGAGTTCTGTTGAAGAAGACACTATTAAGACTGCATCTGTCATAGCTCTTTCTTCAACATGGGAAAGATCACCTTGTGCAATGCCCTCAGGAAAATGCTGAACAGAATAGTCATACCAGTGTTTGTGCGGAGGTCACTGAGCTAATAGACCAATCTCCAGCTAGCTAGCAAAATAAAGGAGATAGATCTGCATGAAATATAGCAAGATGTTTTGGGTATCGTTGGAAAGCTTGGAATCTGTAGTTTTCCAAAACCAATGTGCAATGCATTCAGGAAAATGTTTAACAGAATAGTCCTACCACTGTTTGTGCTGAAGTCATTGAGCTGTAAGATTGACTTATTCAGCTGTTATTTCAGTGGCAGAGCATGACCTTTGTCATGGCATGATGACAAAAGTTTAGTATCATTCTTCCAAATCTTGTAAGGACCTGTAAAGTCTAGGTATTTTAAAGTATGGGAGGATAGGGATATAGCTTTCCGGGCCCTGTAGTCAGAAGGTTTTAAGAAGTGACTAATGGATTTGCAAGTTGGACTTGTTGGCTTGCTTCATTGCATGTCACAGTAGCTCTATTGCAAGAGTTGATGCTCATGATATTAATTATTAGATGGTCTGGTCATTATTTTATGATCACTGTAATGTTGATGAATTATTGATGAATGAAGGGAATCAGGCAGTCTGCTAATTAAAATGGACAATCTGACACTGTCAGCAGGGAGGAAAATGCATGTTTTGAAAAGGTCCCTGTATTAGCAAAATGTGTGGAATATGACAATAGTGATTAGATACCTGTTTTATCTGAAATATTACCCTGAATAACCCAAGCTGCCCGTGAAGTGCTAGAAGGTTAATTGTAACATGACTTATCCCACCAGGTTCCCATTTCTTGCTGGGTGAACAGAGGCAGTTTTGAACAAACTCACTTGCCTAAGGTGAGACCACATGTCTCGTGTGCTTCGCTGAAGTCCAAGAAACCCTCAGGAGTCCAGCTGCCAAACATGGGTCACCCATCCAGGACTCTGTGCCCAACTTTGCACTGATTTGTGACCTGAGCTCAATGCACAGGACCACACAGTACCACCAGGTGGCTTGAGGAGGAACACTTTAAAGCCAGACAGTTAAAGCCTGTATCATCAGGCTAACAACTGCTGTATTCTTATGTGAAACAGTTCAAGCACATATAGTATGACCAGAAATTATTGCGAATTTTAGGAATATGTTTAATTGGATTTCTAGTATAAACAACCTTCACCAGCTATCAAGTGCTTGGTTTTTTATTCAAGAGAGACAACTCCGTTAATCCTTTTTCATTAGTTTGTGAAGAGTTATCCCCCTTTGTTTACTTGCTAGCAGACAACATTTTCAGTGATCCTCAGTATGGATGATTTAGAGAAGAGGAAGTTGATTTTAGAGTATTATAACAAGGACATCAGATCAGCTAAAGTGATTTCAAGTAGAACAGGCATCCCTTTGTCCACTGTTTATCGTGTTTTGAAAAATATTGCAAATGGATATGGCATTGGGAACCAGGGAGGCGCAGGTAGGCCCAGAAAAGTGACAGGAGGCGGCTTGGTATTCTTGTTTCTAAAAACAAACGAAGGAGTTCAGAAAACTTAAGGCTGGATATGATTGATAGGGGAACTGTGGCTGTCTGTAAAGAGACAATTAGAACTGAGCTGCATGCAATGGGTTGGCAGAAAAGTCGAGGAATACCATCACCGATCATGAAACCTGAACAAAAGGAGCGAAGGTTGAACTGGTGCTTACAGCATAGAAATTTTAACTTGGACAATGTGATTTTCTCAGATGAAAGTTCTGTGTGGCTGTTTCCTAATACACTGAAATTCTGGACCAAACAAACTGAAAAAACCTTTGTATCAGCGCCCAAAGTACAGTCCGAAATTTAACGTATGGGGTGGCATATCTATGTTAGGGGCAACGCCCTTCTGTGTATTTGAAGGAAATATGAACAGTGAACGGTACACAGATATTCTCGAGGGACATTTACTTCCATCTGCTCACGTGTTCTATGGAATTTTTTTTGATTTTCCAGCAGGACAACGACCCAAAACATCGTTCAAAGCATTCACAGGCCTGGTTTCGGAACCAAAATATGACATTATTAGATTGGCCAAGCTATAGCCCTGACCTAATTCCAATAGAAAATGTTTGAGACTTATGAAGGAAAGTGTCAATAAGAAAACTCAGACAAATATTGCTGAAATGAAAATCTGGACCAGACAATCCAATGATTTACACAATGAGCCACGATGTATGCATAGCGATAACATGCATCAAACAAGTAAGCGATCCTGACCACCCGATCATGAATGTCAGTCGCCTCTTCATATGAGGGCAAAACAGCTGTAGTTTTGGATGACAGTACGTTATTCTGACAAATATTACAAGTATTGAAAAACAATTCAAACCACGTGGTATACAAATATCCTAACATAAATTCAAACATAACTCCACTAAATGAACTAACCGATTACATCGTGTTACCTGCTCGGTGACTCGAAGGCGCTAAAAACTTGTCAACGAATGAACGAGGATTTAGCGGTTGTCGGAAGCGGCATATAAATCTCCAGTTTGTTGCCGCTGATCTCGTTCGGATAACTATAAAAATGACATGCCTGTTCCCATAGACGCTGGACGCATGCACATTGATCAGCATCTGGAACAACATGGCAGTTTGGAGTTCAAATAGGTTTGATTCCATTAAAACATTGCTTTGTCTGTTAACCAACCCATGTGTTAATGACGCTGGACGCATGCATCTGGAAGAACATGGCAGTTTGGTGTTCAAATAGGTTTGATTCCATTAAACATTGCTTTGTCTGTTAACCCATGTGTGTTAATGACGCATCACTTTAGCAGTGTTTGACTACACTGATCTGATAACACTGTATATACAATAATTTGTTATCCAGATGGCTGAAAGCTTAAATACAAGGACTTTGGACACTCGACAAGGAAAATACGATGTCCTAAATGATATAACCGGAACAAATGTGTTCCGATTGGCAAACGTTTATGTTAGAAAACGGAAACGTGTAATGAAGTAATGGAAAGCCATTGAGTCAAACTTAGAGAAAGACAGATATTACGTTGATTGCCTGTTTGTATAGTTGAAAGACCCCCGTTCATGGTTTGTCATCCCGTGAGGATCCGTATAAGAATTAGTCCTGAGCAAACCCTGCTTGTCGTAAGAGCAGACTAATGGCCTCGGGTGGTCCCACTCGGTGACTTGTTTGATACAAATCATATCATGGCATGTCATTTGGGCAGATGGGCATTCCTGCTGTTATTCCCTGGATTGTCTGTTCCACACTCGATCATTTACAGCTCGCCGTCAAGTACCTTCAATATGGTGTTAAACAAACAAAGAAGAAGTTACTTTTCATTTTATCGGAATTGTGAACCTTTTTAACAGTATGTTGAGAGAGTTAAAACATATCGATGAAACCTTTCAATTATTGTCTAATTTATCTAATTTGTAACCCCTTTTAAATGAATCTCTGTTAAGAGACTTAAACCATATGGACAAAACCGTTCAGCTATTTTTCGAATTTATCTCAATTGTAGACAATTTTGAATGAATATCTGTTAAGAAACTTAAAGCATATTACGAAACCTTTCAGATATTTCTCGATTTATCTCAATTGTGAACCCATTTAAATGAATCTCTGTTAAGAGACAAACAATGATGTGAATGAAACCATACAGTTACTTTCTAAATTATACAGTTATTGTCCAATGAACTCTCCAACAAAACCAGCAATAAACGTGTCTGTTCTAGTAATTCAAGCTCATTAAGTGAAAGGTCGCGAAATTAAGTGACATGCTGAAAAAGATAGTCATAAATAAACATAGATATAAAATTGGCCTCTACTTCGCAGCATGGAGCGCGACGTCATCTTGTCAGGAAAAAGTGTCACCATCACTGAACAAATTGACTGTAATATTTAGGATCACCAAACTGGCAGGAATATGAAACGTTTGAAGTAAAACCGTTCTACTTTTGTCAAAAAGGTTCAAGGACTTTCAAAACAACCAGCCATGTTGTCCTTGAATGCCTCAACCTTGTCAGTGTTGCTTGTTGTATTGTTAAGCAAACCCTCCTAACATTTCACAAGCTATGTGGATCCAGCTGTAAGTTGTATACTGAAATTAATCAAATTCCACCGACTGTTCAAATGTGACAAACTTGCACAAATCTTCAAGGACACCGCAAATGAAAGTGTGAAAAAACAAATCTTGTCATAACAGCGGTAAATGTTCGTCAGAGAAGATGCAAGCAGATATTTAACTGTCAGATCAATAATGTGAACGCCATCTGCCAACTCTCCTTATGTTAACCTCATAAAATTGGAGCTTTATCGTCAATTTCTAAGGTTAGAGCAAGTAAAATAGACGAGTGTCTGTGTCGGTAAAGACAGCAGTATTTGGGTCCCCTAACAAGAACGAACGCTTTTCCCCGCTTAGGTGATTGAGTGAGTATTGTTTTACGTCGCTTTCAGCAATATTCCAGCAATATCAGGACAACGGAAACCAGAAATGGGCTTTACACATTGTACCCATGTAGGGAATCAAATCATGGTCTTCGGCGTGACGAGCGAACGCTTTCAACACTAGGCTACCCCAATGCACCCACGCTATTAAGAAGTTGTCGAATCAAAAACGTTCCACGCATGCGCAGTTCCTTATTTAACGAGAGCCTTCAAACGTTTTTAGGTCATGTACATTAATATGTATTAAAGGAATTAACTAAATATTTGAACCGAAACCATTATTGATTGTAATGATTTTTCAATATGTTGTCAAGTGATGATATATTGTCCTGTATGCTTGGATGATAAAATCATAAACTTATCGTATATGGTTCGATATGTGGAAGGAACGCATGCAGTTTCTCGCAACATATCTCTACAAATGGACATATAGTTAAACACTTTTGTGTCGAACATTCTTTCG